CCCACTCTATGGCACCCTATGGATCATAGCCTGCCAGGTTCCTCTGTCCATGGGGATTCTCCAGGCAAGAGTACTGGAATGGGTTGCCGTGCCTTCCTCCAGGGTATCTTCCTGACCCAGGGATCAAAAATACATCTCTTATTTTTCCTGCATTGGCGGGCGTGTTCTTTACCACTAGCGCCACCCGGAAAGCCCATGCAGTAAGGAGGCTGGACTTTACTCTCAGCAAGGTAAGAGCCAGGAAGGACTGAGGATAGAGGAGTGGGATCTGGCGCAGGGATGGGCAAGGCATCGGACCCAGCCCTGCCCTGGGACAGCTTCTGGTCAGAACAGGTTTCAGGCCTGCAGGGTTCCTCTGACCCTTTGCCATGTGGGGGCGTTGAGGCGGGGGAGGGGGGAGGGCGGAGCCGAGGGCGAAAGCCCGCCCCTCCTTCCCGGAGGCCTGCGGGCAGCGGTCTCCTGTCCAGGGCAGGAGGATGTTCTCACTGACTGACTGGGAGGAAACAGTGCATCCCACATCAAAAGGGGGCCTGGGTGGTTCCCACGCTCCGGCATCGTGGGAACCTTGCTACCCTGGGTTCTCGCAGGGGGCCTGCAGATTGAGAGAGGCTGGGGGCCACCTGGGGACTGTCCCCCAGCTTGCCGATGGGTAAATACAAAACAGCCCCACCATCACACCTTACTCACAACCCTCCTCCCAGGAGCAAGACATTTTTGTAACCCAGAGCTCTGTGGCTTTTAAAGGGTGCCAGAGATTGGAGGACTGCTAAGATCTAAAATACTTCCTTTCTGGGGTCCCCTCAGTCCCCTCCCTAACTCCCTGGCCAAAGGCTCAGAATGACCAGTGTCATGAGCCAGACCAGACTTTGTGCTTCATATAGACCTGAGGTAGCCAACTGTCCTTGCTGGTTGGTAGAGGCTCCCTAGAAATCTGTGCTGATGATTCTACTTGTCTCGAGAGAGTGCTGTGATGGATTAGTGATGTCTGCCACAGGTAGGAGACAAGAAGTGGTGGTCCTCATGCTAAATATTTTTCTTTCCACCCATTTTACAGATAGCCCTGGGGAGAAGGAAGGATTGTTTTCTCATGAGATAGGAAGGAAGGAAGAAGGGGATGGGGAAGCCCTGGCTATAGAGAGGACCTTAACAGTGTGTCTATACTGGAAGTGTTTTAAGGAATTCCCTGGCTGTCCAGTGCTTAGGACTCCACACTTCTACTTCAAGGGACATAGGTTCAATCCCTGGTCAGGGAACTAAGATCTGCATGCCAATAATATTAACAGCAATGATACAATGGAAGTGTTTCAAAGGATGGCGGAAAGAGGAGAAGCCAGAGGTGCCTGCATGCTATCTTATAAGAGGATTGGGGGACTTCCCTGTTGGTCCAGTGGACAAGACTCTGTGCTCCCACTGTGCAGGTGGTGTGGGTTCAATCCCTGGTCAAGGAACTAAGATTCCACATGCTGTGCAGTGTGGCCAAGAACAACAAAAAAAAGAGGATGTAGGGGGGATGAGATTAGGGCGATGGTCTCCCTACAGGAATGTCCTGGAGGATTATGACAGATGCCAGGAAGGGGGAGATGGATCCCCCTTCCCTTGGGTCCTGGAAGCCTGCAAGGAGGAGAAACTCAAGACATGCCCACTCTCACCCCTGCAACAGACTATGAGCTTTGCATGTTTTATCCCATTGAACCTTTGCAAGACTCTATTCCCATTACACATGGGGAGACTGAGGCACAGCATCTTTCCCCTGTCACACCTCAGCTACCCAAGCCTGGGGGCCCCACGGTACCTCTCCTCTGTTACACCTCCCTCGGGAGCTGTGTTCAGTGATTCCAGGTCACCAGAGTGTTTGGGGACCCCAGTGTCTGCTCCAGATGCTGCCACCCTCCTCAGGGGAGGGGTCTGGGAGGGGTATCCTGGCTGACTGGGTATAAGCTTGTGACGCTGGGCAGGCACAAAATGAGGGCTGTGTGCCGTGCATGTGTGTGTTACTGTGTGTGTGAAGTGGGAGCCTCCCAGCCAAGTGTCTGCATGTCAGTGTGGGGGAGTGTAGGTCAGAGTGTGTGGACCAGTCTGTCCCACCCGGCTTCTCCTGTCCAATTGAATGTCTTTGTGGTGTCTGCACGTGGGTATCTCTCTGGGCGCTGTGTTCCCTGGAGTGTGTGTGTCCATGTTTCTGTGGTGTTCTCTGTGTAGAAGTGTGTGTCTATGTCTAGACCTGTGTGTGTTCGTGGAGTGTGTTCCCTGAGGTGTGTCTGTGTGTATGTATGCATGGTGTGTATTCCCTGGTATGTGCGTGCATTTGTGTGTTTGCGTGCAAGAGTGTGTGGCACATTCCCCAAGTATACGTGTATCTGTGTCTGTATCTCTACACAGGAAGGGGGCCTCCTGGGTTGTGGGCACATTTGTGTGTGCGTGCAACTGCCATGTGATCCCTGGAGCGTGTGTACATGGAGCCGGGGGCATGTTTGCAGGGGTATGTGCTGGTCTGTGCAGTGTTTTTCATGTGTGCATGAATCTGTGTTCTATTGCACTTGGCATGTTCCCTATACATGTGCATGCATATATAGCCCACGTTCCGAGGGGTATGTGTGTGTGTGTGTTTCTGGACCCACTGGAGTGGCACGCAAACCTGCCAAGTGTACCATTGGCTTAAAGACACCTTCCCCCCAGCTCGCTGGTGCCGACTGCGCCTGCGGGGCAGGTGTCCAAACAGCACTGACCGGGTCAGACCTGAGCAGGCTTGCCAAGGGGGCTGCAGCGCCTTCCCCAGCTGTCCCTGCCCCCGCCCCTTTCTGCACTGCCTCCTGCAGCAACCCCAGGCCTTCACGCTGCCCCTGGCTTTTTTTTTTTTTTTTTCTGGCTGTGTCAGGTCTTACTTGTGGCATGGGAAATCTTTGTTGCCACATGCGAAATCTTCCTTCTACTTCCATGACCAGGGATCAAACCCAGGACTCCTGAGTTGAGAGTATGGAATCTTAACCACTGGACCACCAGGGAAGTCCCTGGTCCCTGGCTTTCATGACACTCCTCCTTAGCAAAACTTCCCCATCCGATTTCATGCCCATCCACAGCAAGATACCAGTTCACCCACAAAGCTAAACCCTGAAGTCTGGACCCAGGTGGGCACATTGCACAGATCACAGCTGGCCTCCTCCTTCAACCCTCCTGACAGGTATCATCCCCATTTTACAGACAAGGAGACTGAGGAGCACAGGAGACAGAGGAGCATTTCCTCTCCAAGATGGAGAGAAGTTATACTTAGTGGGCTGAGGTGCAAGAGAGGTGAGATTAACCAGGATTACACAGTGATGGTGATATGATGGTGCTTGGTGTTCAGTCGCTCAGTCGTGTCTGACTCTTTGTGACCCCATGGACTGCAGCATGCCAGGCTTCCCTGACATGCAGGGACATGCATGGTGCAGGCTTCACCATCTCTCAGAGCTTGCTCAAGCTCACGTCCATGGAGTTGGTGATGCCATCCGACCATCTCGTCCTCTGCTGTCCCCTTATCCTCCTGCCTTCAATCTTTCCTAGCATCAAGGTCTTTTCTCATGATTCAACTCTTCACATCAGGTAGCAAAGTATTGGAGCTTCAGCATCAGTCCTTCCAATGAATATTCAGGATTGATTTCCTTGAGGATTGACTGGTTTGACCTCTTTGCAGTTCAGGCAAGAATACTCGAGTGGGTTGCCATGCCCCCTCCAGGGGATCTTCCCAACCCAGAGATCGAACCCATTTCTCTTGTGTCTGCTGTGTTGGCAGGCCAGTTCTTTACCACTAGCACCACCTGGGAAGCCCAATGATGGTAGTGATGATGGTTGAAACTATGAGTCTGTAGTAGGTACTAGGAAATGTGCTCAGCCTTTTACATGTAGAATTTCACTGACTCTCCAGGGCATATGTAAGGGAAGTGCCATGAAAAAAAAAAGTGAAGGTGTTAGTTGCTTAGTTGTGTCCGACTCTTTGTGACCCCATAGACTGTAGCCCATCAGGCTCTTCTGCCCATGGAATTCCCAAGGCATTGGGTAGCCATTCCTTTCTCCAAGGGATCTTTTTGAAAGGGAGGTGCCATATTATGCCCATTTAACTGATGAGGAAACACATTTATAAGAGATGTGGTGATGTGCCATGTGTTGAAGTGAAGTTGCTCAGTCGTGTCCAACTCTTTGTGACCCCATGGATTGTAGCCTACCAGGCTTCTCTGTCCATGGGATTTTCTAGGCAAGAGTACTGGAGTGGGTTGCCATTTCCTTCTCCATCCAGCTGCTTAATGGTTGAGCTAAAATATGAAAGCAGCTCTGAATGATTCCAAAAGCTAGATCTCTTCAGAAGGAAGAGCAAAGATGGGAGGCAAGCTACATTTTTCTGAGACCTTTTCATTTGAACAGGGGATAATGCCTTAGTCACCAGAACTGACATCATTAAATACTCCAGAGGGGGAAGTTCATTCTTCATCCAATGTCTCTGGAAAACCTGGATTAGCCACAGCTAACCTGTTTCCTTATGCAGGACTTTTCAGAGCCTTTAATACATTCACATATGTTGTGAATGTCCTAGTGGGAGACAGTGAAGTGGATCCTTGGTGATCCCTAAATCCTTCTTTCCCAGAACTTTTATGGGTATCAGCAAACTCTGAGAGAAGTTTGGCTAAGTCATGAATAGTTGGGTTTCAGACACAATAGTCAATGAAAAGGAACAGTTGGGAGCCAACTTCTCTCACCTGGGAAGAGATCAGCTGTGGAGTGGGAGAGGGTCAGTACTAAGTCTAGGGGCTCATTCCATTATCACGGGGGGCAGAGGTCCTGGCCACACCCTACCCCGTAATATTGACAGAAGGTTGTCAGAGTAGGAATGGAATTCTCTAGTGGTCATTCTAGATGAGTGGGACAGGCAGAAAGGAATCAGAGCATGCCCATGAGCCAGAGACAGAAGACAAAGCAGGGTCCCCTGATCTGGTCTGGGGAGGCTACAGTCTCTTCTCTTCTCCTCTCAGGGTCCCTGCGCTCCCAGTGAAGAACTTGAATGGTACAGGGCCAGTCCACCCGGCCCTGGCAGGTAAGGTCCAGTCAAGGACGGAAAAGAAGGGCGGGGCCCACAAGGTGGCAGCCCCACCAGTCTGCCCACTGACTCCGCCCCTTGGTGGGCGTGGCCCAGAGGGCACATCCCCTACCATTGGGCTATAACTCTGGGGTGGGCGGGGCCCGCAGAAGGCTCTCAACTTGGCTTCAACTTTAGGTAGGGCTGAGTGGGCACCGTCCATGGGACACACCCCATCCACCCATCCGAGGATTCCTGGGTGTACCAGGTGGGCGGAGTCTGGGCAGAGACCCTAAGGGTCCTCTCGACGATGGGAGAGCAGGGCAGACAGGGCCTGGATGAGCACCCCGCCCCCTGACTATCGCTGCCTGGCGTCCCGCAGGGATGACTGGGATCCTGCTCTGCGCCGCGGGGCTGCCCGTCTGCCTGACCCGGGCCCCCAAGCCCATCCTGCATCCACCGCCGGTGAGCAAGAGCGACGTCAAGCCCGTGCCTGGCGTGCCCGGGGTGTGCCGCAAGACCAAGAAGAAGCACCTGAAGAAGAGTAGGCCTCCTAAGCTAGACCCTGACCCCTGAACTAACCCTGCTAACCCATCTGAGCTCTTCTGGTCCCATCCACCACCAACTCCGATTACATAAAACCTCAAGCAACCCTTGACATGTGACTCCCACCAGCTGTTACAGCTTCTGACATTATCCCTTTGACTGACCCTGTCCTGAGCCATGCCCTCAGGGCTAGACTCGGGGTACAGTCAGGCCTAGCCCAATGCTGTCCTTGCAGGTAAAAACCCTGAAGATGTGGTTCGAAGGTACATGCAGAAGGTGAAGAATCCACCTGATGAGGTGAGCCCCTGAGCAAGGAGGGGGGCGGAGGGCAGGCAGCCTCCCCTCCAGAGATGGAGACCCCAGCACCCTACTCCTTGTGAGGTTCTATGTGTTACAGCTTCTTCTTCCAGTTTGTGGGTTTGCCTTCTCATTGTCTTTACAGCATCTTTTGATAAACACCAATGCTACATTTAACAGAATCACATTTATCAACCTTTTGATAATCAACAGTTTTTGCATCTTATTTTTACCCATATTTTTCCAACAAACGTATTTAAGCTTTGTTTTCGATAGTTAAGCATTGAATCTATCTGGAGGGGGTGTGCGGGAGCCATCTCTTCCTCTGCCATGCACCTGAATTCAGTACCTGGGGGTGTTCCCTCCCTTTGACAGATGGAGGCCAGAGAGGGGGCGGCCTGCTGACCTTGGGGGTGGGGTGAGGGTCTGGCCCCTGCTGAGGGGCAGTGCTGACCTGGGGGTGTCCTGCCCGCCCCAGTCCTCAGTTTCACCTCTGTGCTCCCCCTGACCCCAGGACTGCACCATCTGCATGGAGCGGCTGGTCACGGCCTCTGGCTACGAGGGCGTGCTTCGGCACAAGGGTGTGCGACCTGAGCTCGTGGGCCGCCTGGGCCGCTGTGGCCACATGTACCACCTGCTGTGCCTCGTGGCCATGTACTCCAATGGCAACAAGGTGGGCTGGCCAGGGGGGCGGGGACGGGCAGGAGGGCTGGGGAGGGGCCCAGACGCCTGGGAACCTCACAGCCACGCCCCCTCCCCGGCCCCAGGATGGCAGCCTGCAGTGCCCCACCTGCAAGGCCATCTATGGGGAGAAGACGGGCACTCAGCCTCCCGGGAAGATGGAGTTTCACCTCATCCCTCACTCGCTGCCCGGTTTCGCTGACACCCAGACCATCCGCATCGTCTACGACATCCCCACCGGCATCCAGGTGAGCCCTCAGGCCCCTGACTTTGAACTCGCCAGCGGTTCCCCACTGCCGCCTGAGGTTCAAGCCCCCTGCTGCCCCTCCCCACAGGGCCCTGAGCACCCCAACCCGGGCAAGAAGTTCACTGCAAGAGGCTTCCCACGCCACTGCTATCTGCCCAACAACGAGAAGGGCCGGAAGGTGGGTACCGCGAGGACAAGGGGGTGTGGGAGCAGGCCAGGGCCCCAGCACTGAGCATAGCCATCTAGTGTGCATGTGTCTAGCCCTGCCAGTGGCCTCAAAACCTCATTTCATTTACCAGCCCGCTGAGGTCAAGGTCTTAACACCATTTTAGAGATAAACAAAGCCTCAGCGAGGGCAAGTCATTTGTCCAAGGTCACACAGCGAGGTCACACAGGAGCCTGGATTTGACCCAAGCAGTCTAGACTCCACTGCCGCACCAGAAGAGTGTCGGCTTTTACTTTTTGTTTTTCAAAAGAAGCCAGAAATTCTGATTTTCACGTGAAACCTTCAGGTTTTTGAATACTGCCAACGAAGGAATGAAGCTGCTATTTAATACAGCGTGAGGTTCAAACCAAACACAGCTGAGAGTCATCAGTTTGAGGCTCTTCACCCCAAAGAAATAGGCTGGTAACATGGAAAGTGGTTTTACTGGGGGAGCTCAGAGTGGGAGTCAGTCTAGGGAAGGAAGTGAGCACGCTGGGTGGCCACGGAGAATCTTGCAGGGTAACCTCAGGGTGGACGGGGAGGGACTCAAGCCCTGGGCCTGCTGGGAGCCTGTGACCCTTGCTCGCTCCGCCCCCATTTGCCCCGCCATTGCCCCGCCCTCCAGGTGCTGAGGTTGCTCATCACCGCCTGGGAACGGAGACTCATCTTCACCATAGGGACGTCCAACACCACAGGCGAGTCGGACACCGTGGTGTGGAATGAGATCCACCACAAGACCGAGTTTGGATCCAACCTGACGGGCCATGGCTACCCGGACGCTAGCTACCTAGACAACGTGCTGGCGGAGCTCACAGCCCAGGGTGTGTCTGAGGCTGTGGCTAAGGCCTGAGGCCCGAGGCTGCCCACCTTCCCTCCTGCTTTGCCCCTGGTCCGGCACATGCCTCCCTCCGCCCGCCGGGTGTGTCCTGGCGGCCCAGGTTCAGGGCTGGGGAGGAGCCTGCAGGAGGAGCCAGGAGCGTTCCGGGGATTTGGCTGGTAGCAGTTGGGATGATGGGAGGATAGCAGGCCAGCCGGCTTCGACCCTAGCTCTTTGAGAGGGTCGCAAGGGTGTACCGGAAAACATAGCAACCTCCCTACTAAAAAGACAGAGCCCCACCCCCTCACACAAACACACGTGTCTTGTTGAACACATGCACGCACACCCACGTGCCTCTACTTACCCCCAGACTGAGGGGGAAGAGACAGAAAGACCCCTGTGATACCCCATGTGGATTCCCATCTGTGTCTCTATCGCATCTGCACAGGCTTGTCTGCGAGCAGGGGCTCAGGGCTAGCACCTGGGGGCCCGATGGGGCTCCAGGAGAAAAGGGAGCACTTGGGAAGCTCAGTCTCCCCCCATCTCTGCCACCCACTAATGGCCCACGGGGTGGAAGCCCCCAGATTATTCAGCAGTTTTGCAAAAGGGCAGGCCAGGGAGACAGACTAGAAGAACCTTATTTTGGGCTTATGTCTCTTCATCCTTCTGGGACCCTGACCTCCTCCCCTCCCATCCCCAAGCCTTATGTCTGTCCCTGATAAAGGCACTGTTTTCCTTTCCTCCCCACCCCATTCTCTCCACCAAATCACTCCCAACATCAAGATCCAAAGGCTGGAGCTTCTGGCTTCAGGAGCGAGACGAGGAGGCCTGGCGTAGGCCAGCAGGTTTAAAAAGCAGTCCAGACAGCAAAGAGTCCATTTCCCTTTCCTCGGGAGTGGGCAATGGGGTGGCTGATAGCCTCGGCCAACCAGGGGCCTGTTGCTCAGGCAACTCACCAGCTCCGCCTCTGTTGATTGGCTGCCATGGTGGAAGTCAGCCAAGATTTAAAGGGACGCCAGCGATTGCTCTTTTGAAAATCTACCAGTCCCACTGTGGGTGGAGAAATAAATGGCCTTTCTCCTCCTCAACTGGGTCTTTTCCTGTCAAGAAGGGGCGTGGGTGGCTCTGTTTCTGGGGGACTTCAGTCCATCGCATGGGGGAGCTTGCAACAAAATGGTGACCCAGGCCCACTGTCCCTGTCAGGCTCGGGCAGCTGGAGATGGAGGGTCCCCACGCTTCTCCTGTCCTGGGGTGGGCTGGGGGTGTGATGGTGGCGGAGGCAGACCCTCCCAATCCTAGTCCCCAAGAGTGTACAAGTTGAAGTTCTGTTCTCCAGCACAGGTGCAAGGCAATGCACGCAGCTCCCGGGTTCAATGACTAGGAATGAGGAGCTCAGGCTGGGAGCCTCCAGGAAACAATGGGGGAGCTGGGAGACGCCGTAATGGCTTGCGGGAACCTCAGAACCCCAGTCTCTGCCCTCGGGGAGGAGGACCAGGTTCTGTCTAGGGAAGACAAGAACCTGTCCCGGACCTGCAGCAAGTCTCCTATCAACCTCTCACATCCCAGGAGGCTGGGGGCTGTAGTGGATGCTGCAGCTCCAGGCGACCCCTGCTGGGCACCTTTGGGATAGCACCGCATCTTTCCTGGTCCTTAACATTTCTGTCCTACCCTCTAGTTACACAAAACGGGAAATGAATATTTGGAGACCCTTCCAATCCTGCCAGTTGGGTATTCCCCAACATTTTACCTTCTGTGATTCATTCTCAAACAAAAGCTCACCTCAATATAAAATCGCCCAGCCCCGTGATCCTCAAATCTCACGTGCAATCCACATCACCTGTGGAACATGCTGAACGCCCCGATGCCTGCCCTCATGCTCCCTCAGATTCTGATTCAGTTGATCCAGGAAGCTGCATTTCCAGTAGATACCCTGAGGCTGGGCTGTGGACCACAGTCTGAGAAATCCCTCCCTGTTTCCTATACTATCACCATGGAACCCATTTTGAAAATCACACATATCAACTCACTCACTCATTTTATACAGGGTAAACTGGGGCTCAAAGAGAAGGAAAGAGCCTGGCCTGAGGTTTCTCAGGCTTCAAGGGTCTGAGTCAGGCATACTGGGCTCCCGGCCTCAGTTATTCCTGAGGGCTCCTGATTGTAGAAGCTTGCGGTTAGGATTCTTGGCTAAGGACAGGGTTCAGGAGGATCGATGAGGTTACAGGGATTGGCAGACATGAAAATAGGAAGGGTTGAGCCCATTTTAGTGCCTGTTTGGGGCAGCAAGGCCACATGGGCACCAGGGATTCGGGTACAGCTGTATCTAGCAGCTCAGGGCCAGGCTGCCCCTTGTCAGTGTGGGTAGAGGCCAGTCCAGTGAAGCAGAGACCTCAAGCTGAGCCAAGTAAGTCAGAGTCCTTATTCCATCCATTCCAGTCTGCCTCAACCCAGAGGGTGAGATTCATTCAGTGCAAGGCTGGTTCCCAGCCAAAAGAGTTCCATGCCTGGGTTCTGGGCTTAGGACACATGGGATTAGGATATCTCTAGGAACCTGCAAGCCACATCATCAGTGAGGTACAGAACAGCCACGAGGAGATTCCTGGGCCAGGGGATACTGAGAAGGGCCCACTGGCTCTTTCCTCCTCCTCCCAGGCTGATTCTGGCATCCCCTCAGGGCCTCAGGGGGCCCCAAACCACTTTCCCCTGCTCCTGCTGCTGGAACTCCTCATGGGCTTGGTCCAGGTCTGCGAGCACCTCCAGCAGGTGGGCAGCTGCCTCCCTCTGCCGAGCCAGGGCATCAGTACAGGCCCCTGGGAGAGAGAAGAGGAGGCCATAGGGTTTCAGCCAGCCCACGGCAGGCTGCTCTAGTTCAGATCCAGTGGCTTCCTCAGGCTCTTGGATGTGCCTGGTGCCCCGAGAATCCTAAGATGTGCCAGAGCTGCACGTGCAGCTCCCTGACCTGCTGGTGGATTGCAAACAGGAGAGTGGGGTGGGGTGGGGGGAAGAGGGCACAGAGACTGGGGTGGGAGGTCCTTGGCAAGTTGTGGGAGGTACCAAAGAAGAGAAAGAAAAGGGATTTCCTTACCCCCTTACCTTCCATGGCCCTGGAGCCCTGCCCTGGGTCCGCCTCCAGAGATGTATGCATGTTGGAATCCTCCAGGAATTTCATCCTGAAAGTTAAGAGGGAAAAAACCAGGCTGGTCCCCGAGTCCCAATCCTGCTCTTGAACCCAGAGATTCTGCTGGTTGAAGGAGACATTACAGGTTCCCACTAAACCATCATCATCGCCATCATCATCACCACAGCAAACATAGAGTGTCTGATGCTATTCCAAGCCTGTTCCATGTATAAACTCGTTTAATTAGCACAAAACACAGGTGGATACTGACTAGTGGCTGCGTGACACAGATGATCGCTGAGACAGAGAGACGTAAAGTAACTTGCCTAAGGTTGCACAGCATAATAATAATTGTTACCCTTTATTATTAGAAAGGGTATTATATTTTATGTTTTTATTATACAGAAAGCTAACTGTGTGTCCATGCACTTACAAAGTGCTTTACCTGTATGAGCTCATTCGGTCCTCAGGACAACCCCATGAGGTAAGGACTGTTGGTACCCTAATTTTCCAGACTTGAGAAAACTGAGGTACAGGGAAGGTAAGCAACTCGCCCAAGGTCACACAGCCAGTCCAGAACTTGAAACCAGACAGGCCAGCTTCAGGACTCACACTGTAAGCTGGAACAAATCTCCACCGCTGAGTTACAGTGATCCTGAGATCAGCCAAGAAGGGCTGGGGACACACATCCACACTTGATGCCTGTGTCTTGGGAGTCCTGGGTATCAAAGGATCTCAAGATCCATGGAACTTCCCTAGCAGCCCAGTGGTTAAGACTCAGCTTCCAATGTCGGGGGCAAGGGTTCAATCCCTGGTCAGGGAACTAAGACCCTACATGCCATGTGACATGGCCAAAGTGGAAAAAAGAGAAAAAAGGTCCCAAGATCTAGTTCCGTATTAGAGCCCACCTGAAGATGAAAACAGTCCTCCCCTAGAGCCTGGCCCACCCAGAAGCTCATCAGAGGCACATGGGAAGAATGAACCGGTGATCATGGGGAGGACACAGCGAAGTGGGTTGCGGGATGGGACCCACCTGAGCCGGTCCCGCCCCAGAAGCAGCTGCCGATACACCATCTGGGTCTCAGCATCAGGATCCAGCGGGTCACTCCAGTCCCCCAGGGTGACGGCTGAGTGCGTGCGGCTGCAGCCGGAAGCTGGGGCGACACAGCGGCATCATCTGTAACTTTGCATTCCCCTTCCAGAAGCCTCCATGGCCAAGCCCGGCCCCTTTGACTTCTAAAACCACTCTTCGAACCTACTGCTTCCTTCCAGCCACACTGCCTCTGCCTTCACCCAACGGAGGAATAGCCTCGCTTCTCTCCATGCCCCTCCCACACCCTGGGCTCAGCCACACAGACCTTTCTCCATCCTTCAGCCTCTTTGCTCTGCCTGAAACACTCTTTCTTCCTCTGTCCCTTTCTCCAACTTCACTACTTAACTCTTCCTCTTCTCACAGTCATACTTGAGCCGCACCTCCTCCAGGAAGCCCTTCTTGCTGTCCTACCCTGGGGCTGGGCCAGAGGGGTTCACTGGCGTCTAAAAGCCTCATCTTGGCACTTGTAACACTGTATTACAATTGTCTGGTTATTGATTTATTTTCCTGAGAACAAGCCTGGCATTTGGTAGGCACTTGAAAAAAAGTATCTGTGTGCCAGGCAGTGTTCTAATTGCTTTGCATATATCAACTTATTTAATCCTCACAGCAACCCTACAAGGTGGACATTATCATCAGGCCCATTTTACACTTGAGGAGATTAAGGCAGGGAGAGGCTAAGGAACTCGCTCAAGGTTGCAAGGCAGCCCAGGCAGAGGTGGGACACCCTGTGATTGACAGGTGTGGAGGGCGGAGCCTGAGTCCGCCCTGCCTCCTCACCTGAGCGCTCGGCCTGGAGACAGCAGGTCCAGTGCCCGCTGCGGAAGGCACCGGGGTGGCAGGAAGCCAGCTTGTCCGGGTTGGGGGCGCTGGCCTTGCGCAGGGCCGACACCCATTGGTTGAGCTCGTTCACATTCTGCGGGGAGATGGAGGGGCAGTCAGAGATGGGTTGGGACCCCAAAGGCGCCCTCTGCTCCTCCCCCATCCTGCGGCGCCTCACCTTGCACTGGAGGTAGGTGGTGTGCAGAGCCCCTGCGCCGTCCTGCGTCACCACCTGCATCACGTGCGGCAGCTGGAAGGCGCCCTCATCCACGCGCTCCACGGCTCGGATGTGCGACACGGGGATGGAGGAGCGCATCTGGGAGAGAGGGCTGTCGCTGCAGGGCGGGCTAGGGACCGGGCCCAGGGAGACCAGGCTCGGGGACAGCTTTCCTGTCAGTGTGTGCATCCGGCGGTGTGTTCCGGCATGGGGACAGTCAACTTTGTGCATCTGTCCTATGTGTGTGTCCACTTGGCGGCCCTGTGAGTCCCACAGTCTTGGCCCATCACTCTCTCAGTGATAACTTCTCTGGGCTTCAGTTTCCATTATCATCATCACCATCACCATGGCAACCCCTGCTACTGTACTTGGGATGTGGTTCTAAGCACTCTACATTTACCAACTTATTTTATCATGATAACAGATTTCTGAGGCTGGGTCTATCATTCCTCCCAATTTACAGATGAGAAAACTGAGGCATAAGAGAATAAAGGACCCTTCAGAGGCCACTCAGCTGGTGCAGCCAGAATTGGAACCCAGGGAGTTGAACTCTAGAATCTACACTCTGCTGATAAAGTAGAAAGAATAAGTGTAGGCACCATCTCCAGTGATAGCTTATGATTTGCGGGTGTGCAGACACAGAAATGGGTAGATCCCCGTGGATGTCTCAGTTTGAGCTAGACTTGAATGGCAGCCCCATGAAAGCAGGGAGTTCGTGTTTTGCTTATTGCACTATCTCCAGCACTAGAACACTGCATGGTACACAGTAGGTACTCGATAAGTGCTTGATGGGTGAATGGATGGGTGAATGAATGCCTGGATATGAGTGCATGTATGG